CAAATGAACCATTTTGTTTTGTTTTATTTTTCTAGAAAATTAACAAAAAACCCAAAACAGCAATTTTCACAAGAAATGAAGGTTATACTGTATATGACTAAAAAACACCAGAAAAATACTTTCATATCAAAAGAAGGTAACAAAACCTAACCTACACTACCTTTGCTGACCGAATTGCCGCTAACCATGACCGCATCGTCGCTAACCTGAACAAAAGGTAATCATATAATACTATCTAACCTAACCTAACAAAACCATTGAGCATGCGGTCTACCTACTCTGGCGGATCACTAAATGTTTAGGAGTAAATATATTAAAAACTACCGGTTAGCATTTGCATAAACATTACACTTAAATATCGATTTGTAATTAAAAAATAATAATTAGGGTACAGGGCTGTAGTCAGAAACACAAGAACAGGAATGGATGAAAGACAAATATTAACCCCCATTTATTCATAAATGTACTGTGACATTGCCATTTGGAGATACAGTACAGGTTACCACAACTGTACCAGATATACAGATATCAAAGTAAGTTCTTTCTGCCTAATATGACTGGGGGCTAGGAGGTTAGGTAAGGTTAGGCAGGTTTAGTTGGTTAGGTCAGATTTTGTTAGATTCTCTGCATTGTTGTTAAAATTTTCGTGTTTGGTATCATGCAAATAACGTAGTACAGTATCTCCAGAAGTTTTGTGCAGTTCCATAAATTTTTTCTCTAACCAAGTTCTCCACCTTTACCAATACAGTACAGTACTTGTATTATAATTTTATACAGCATATTATACAGTACAATATCTTTAATAATGTTCAGGTGAAGCTCGAGTTTATGTAGGTTAGGTAGAATAGTCAAGTGTATTTTATGATAAGTAAATTATAAATTGTAGCTGTATCTGGTATATACTGTAGTACTGTACTTCATGAAGCTCCCACATCTGCCAAATGTCAACAAAGATGCTTGTGAGTTTATGCCCTTTATATACAAGATTACCAAACAATGCAGCTCTGTGGACATAATATTGCTGCTACCTAGCCCACTGGCTGTGTGGCCATGATTTTGCTTTCTTAGAGACTCGAATCTATTTCATTAGCATTTTGCATGGCAAACCTAACCTAACCTAACCTAGAAGTTTCTATCAGACAAGAATAGCAAAATACAGTATGTAACCTGCCTCTAGTGAATAAAGGGTAATGGTGGAGGAGACGGTTAGCACCCAAAGGAGATTATAGAACGCAGTGGATACAGGTACAGCAAGTGTATGCCAAAAATCACACTGGATATAGGTACAGTAGCTGTACAGTATTGACAAACTGTGTTGTTAATGGTCAGGTTAGGTGAAGTAAAGTTTCTTGTGTTGATGTTAATTTGTTTGTGGATTTATGTTTATTCCTTTGCCTAATGGCAGGAAAACTTGCCACTTCATTAAAGGCATTTTTTATTATTTTATTTTTGATTATATACTGTGGTAAAGGGATCATTAATAAAGTGTTCATGGCAAAATTGGCCTTTTTTCATGCACTGGATGAATTAAGGTTAACCTGACTTAGACCTCAATTTAACTACGAGTAAATACAGTACGGGTAGTCCCTTACTTACGACTGACTCAACTTACGTCAATCCGCGCTTACGACCTGCTCTGACCTTACGACCGTCGGGACATACGACTGTCGCAGTCGTGACCAAATTTTTTTCAAATGACGCTCGCATTTTCTATACCGAAACATTTCCGTCCTGAGCGAGAGCGTGGTGTGGCTTGGGTCACCACGTGGTTACACTCACTCAGTACAGCGCTTAGTTGGTGTTTGGCTATCATATCCTATACTGATCACGCTGTGAACTTATGTTATTATCGTATTTAATTGACTTTATAATGACTGGAAAGTGTACAAGTGAGAGTGCTGGTGGTGCTCCAAAGAAAAGGAGACAGGCAATTACTTTTGAGATGAAAATGAAGATGATAATGCAGTATGAAAAGGGTAAAACTGTAGCAACAATCTCACGTGACCTAGGTTTCTCGCACTCGACCATATCCACTATTCTGAAGGACAAGGAACGTATTCGTGGTGTAGTGAAAGGAACAACACCTATAAAGGGAACTATAATTTCGAAGAAAAGACAAGGTCCTATTCACGATATGGAAAAATTATTGGTGATATGGATAGAAGACCAAATACAGAAGCGTGTACCCTTAAGCCTTCTAACCTTACAGGCTAAAGCAAGAAGCCTGTTCCAAAGCCTGAAGGAGCAGGCAGGAGATGAATGTGAGCAAACCTTTACAGCAAGTTATGGGTGGTTTAATAGATTTAAAAAATGCTACAGTTTACACAATGTTAAGGTGAGTGGAGAGGCAGCTAGTGCTGATGTTGGTGCTGCCGAAGCTTTTAAGGAGGAGTTAGATGATGTGATTGTGGAAGGGAATTATTTGCGTGCGCAAATATTCAATGTGGATGAGACTGGATTATTGTGGAAGCGCATGCCTGAGTGGACATACATCCACAAAGAGGCGAAAACAATGCCAGGATTCAAGGCATTCTGGGACAGAATTACACTTCTGTAGAGGGGGAATGTTGCGGGTTTCAAGCTAAAGCCCTTCATGATCTATCATTCAGAGAACCCCAGAGCTTTTAAACATGTCAGCAAGCACACACTGCCAGTGTTTATTGCAGTAACAAGAAAGCCTGGATGACCATTGTACTGTTTGAGGATTGGTTCATGAATTGTTTCATTCCTCGAGCCAAGATGTATTGTCTGCAACAACGGATTCCATTCAAGATTTTGCTGATTTTGGATAATGCTCCGGGACACCCACCACACCTGGACGACATGCACTCTGATGTTAAGGTAGTGTACATTCCACCTAACACTACCTCTGTCATCCAACCCATGGATCAAGGTGCTATTGCTGCCTTTAAAGCGTATTATTTAAGTACGACCTTCGCTCAGGCTGTTGCTGCTACTGAAGGTGAGAAAATGCTCAGAGAGTTTTGGAAGGAGTACAACGTTTTGTCATGTATAAAGAACATTAGTGCAGCATGGGATCAGGTTACAAAACATTGCCTGAATGGAATATGGAAGAAAATCCTTAAAAGATATGTGAACGGTTTTAGAGGATTTAATGAAAATGAAGTTATTTCGGATATTAGTAACAAGATAGTGGAGTTACCGGTAGGTAAACAGCTTCAGTTAGAAATTGATAATGAAGATGTTGAACAGTTGGTTGAAAGTGTAGCTGAAGATCTCAGTAACGAAGATCTCATCGAACTTGAAGCACACAAAGATGCAGAGGAAGAAGCCAGTCTAAATGTAGAAGAAGGACCTGCACCCCCCAAAAAGTGTTCAGTGAAGCAAATGGCAGAGGCATTTGCTACAATTAATAAAGGAATGCAAATGTTTGATGGCATGGATCAAAATTATGAGCGTTATGGCAAAGTTGATAGAATGATCCAAGATGCACTTGCTTGCTACAGAGAAATTTATAATGAAAAGAAAAAGCAAACTGTGCAGCCTAAATTGGACATCTATTTTAAGAAGTCCCCCAGTGCTGTCTATTCACGCCCCACCAGTGCTGCCTCTTCACTCCCTCAAGATGATCCAATACCTTCAACCAGCAAGTTTCCACAGCACATAAACCTGTCTGAAGAAAGCGACATTGATGACCCACCCAGCCCTGTCTCCTCTGCTTCTTCCAGTTAATGTAGTCTCCATGTATAATTAGAAAATTATGGGGGCCCCGTGTGCATTCAGCTGACTACATTAAAGGGAAGTGCTCAGTCACACTGTATCCATTCCTCATTATTTATTACTTTTACTGTACTGTATCTCATTGTAGATTTTTGTTTATTTATTTATTTATTTTTTTTATTTTTTGAAAATTTGATTTATTTTATTTTATTTTTTATCTATGTCGGACTTATGACCATTCCGACTTATAACCTGGATTTGGGTCCCTAACCCCGTCATAAGTCGGGGAGCACCTGTATTACAAAGGTGAGTCTTATCAATGTAGAACACAAATGAAATACTGTACATAATTGACAAATAAATTAACTCAGATACTGGACATGGTTACTTTCCAAAGCAAAACTGAGATTGCATACAACTTAACAGCAATGACTTGCATGAGTACATGTAGCTACTTGCAGGATGTGGTAAAGATTCAGAAAAGGTCGACCATGGAAACTACTAAAATATTGAGTTCTTCTAGTACATTTTGGGGTGTTAAAAGTGAATTTGACCTTCATTTTTGACGGTAATGAGCCATCATGGAGATATGACTGTTGAAACTATATCTAATGAAACTTCCTAACCACAGAAATCAGAAGTACTGTACCTGACCTAACCACTTATCCAATGGACCTCCGGTTGTGAAAAAACTTACCTTAATTGACCGATGCAGGAAGATTAAGTGATGAACTTGGATGAGGAATTAAATGCAGAATGCACAGTGAGGAGATTTCTTTGTCTTGGTGATTTTTTGGTTTTTTGCACAAAACCAAAAGTTCTCTTCTTGACGGTAGTGACAGTTCGAACCGCACTTTCCACGCTTCACAGAGGTTGGTGGAATACCACAATCTTTAAAAATGTCAATGTCTGCAGCTTCGTTTTCAAATACACGATGAATGGTTTGCCAAGCTGAGGAAGAACACCTGGTACAGAGAGAAGCTGTGTAGCCACTTCGCATTGAGTACCTGCTCCAAATTTTATGTACCAATCTAAACAAACAATATACTGAAAATACAATGGGGATCTGATAAACACCTTTTGTGGCCCCGAGTACTCTGTTATCCTTTTTGTAGATTGAATATGGGGAGCACAATAAACTAGCTAAGTCTGTGGCAAATTTAAAAAAAAACAATTCATGTTAGGATTTTTTTGATGTTAGAAACAATTTGTATTTAAACTAACGAATCAAACATTTAGCTGCAGCTAATGGTGCTTTTGCCTCTGCATAACTTGTGAGAGATGCTAATCCATTGTTTTTTGGTGTTTTTTTCAGATACATTGATCAGTGATAAGTAAACATAACAGAAAGCAAAACAAAAAACCAGTAAACGAGATGCCGAAGATTCCAAAAGGACTGCATAAACCTCGGATTCCAACAGGTTTACTGAGAATGGATCAAGAGATTTATCAAAAGAAAGGTACCCTCCCAAAAAATAATGGTGACTCTAATAGCTGCATGACTGGCTATCGTGGAAATGGGGGAAAAACCAAAAGATATAGTAGAGTTGATCATAAAGAAATACAACAGAGCAATAAAAACAAGAAGATTTTAGTTGTCGATCATCGTACAGATCAAACAGATGTAGAGAAAAGTTCTGGTCACTTACCATCCCACATTGAAGAAAACATTGTTCAACTTCTCAATCACAACCCAGATGGGATAAATCTTGAGAAATTCAGTAGTGCCTACATGGAAGAGTTTGATGCCCAATTAATAAGCACTAAGTATGGTTATGCTGATATTGTAGATCTTTTGAAGGCAATGTCAAATCATGTCATCATGAAGATCAGTGGATTACAGGACCAGGTGGTGGTTATGCCAAAAACAGGTAAGATAGAATTTGAAACACTAACCCTTTTGTAAAAATACGTATATCCATATTTTTATTTTGTTAATGTGTGTGTACATGCATGTGTTTACACTCGGAAAAAAAGGTAGTTTACAGGAGGGATCCAATGAATTTTGAACTGAACAATCCCGTTGTCTCTCTACTAATGTGAGGGTATGCCTCATGGGCCTGTATCAAAAACCTTTGTTTGGTGTTATTTTGCTTCACAAGACTTATTGTTTTACCAAGTGTACATACATACACGAGTATAGCAAACTGGTATTCGGTGAGTTCACAATTTTTACTATACAGTAATGTCTTTTTCTGGCATTTTTTTTGTACTGTTAGCATCTTCATTTTAAACTGTGACCATTACTTCACTTTATCCTTTGCACCACTGATTGGCCTGTTAGCTGCTTGTGTGGTTGATTACCTTTGGTAGGGTGGCCATCAGGTAATTGAAGGTACAGTAACTCGGGTATTCAACACAGTAACCAATGCAGGTTTGTCGACGTACTTGATAATGTGTGACCAGGTCACATTATGTTGACACAGGTGCTTTAAGTTGGGTCTCTTGGAGGGTGTGTCAACATCACAGGTACTGACACAAGTCAGGTCATATACTGTATATTTTATATACTGTACTGTATAGTGTACTGTATACAGTAATTGTACGTTTGCCGGAATTCTCGATCCCCAAAACTCACTAATAGCCAGAATAGAAATTGGGCCGGAAAATTTATAGTCTGCGAATGAGTTTCCAAGGATGAAAATTAGGCACATTTTTGGGAAAGAATTCTGAGAAGGTTCCAAGAAAATCTCTTCAAACCTCTCAGTTCTGGGCCTGGGAATAAATTTTCCTGGAGTTCTGAGAGATTGCATCATGCTCCAACACGTCCCCACGTTCAAGGCGTGTGGGTGACCTAGCTGTTTGGATCGCTTAGTTAATATTCTATTGCCATTATTGCATACAATTTGGGTTGTGCAGTACTTTACATTACTGTACCAGGACACAATTAGCCAAGAATACAGTGTTTAGTGTCAAGATGTAAAAAGTGATAACAGGGCCTCTGTGTGCCAGTAACAATTCCTTTTACTCTTATACTTATTACCATTGGTAGCGTGACGATAGGAGGCTCGTGGGTAGGTGTAATGATAGTATCAAGCAATAGGGACGAAATAACGGTAAATACTGTAGGTAAATAATAGACACAATTATACAAATACAAAGTTTATTTAAACATGAATATGAAATTAGAAGAAAGAATTTATTTGTACCAACAGACGAAATCTAGTACTAGGCCCTCAGGCTCAACATACTCACACCATTACTGGGTGGACATATTCAATAACACTTCCAACCCTACTGGGTGGACATACTCAATAACACAACTATTATAGTCACTTAGCACCATAAATACTAGGGCAACTGCCACTACAACACTCAGTCGTCAGGTGTGATACTCAAGCAACAGCCATGGGGTCCAGCCACCATGGAGTACTATCCGACGAACTCTGGAGATCCCAGTGGATTAATTCCACCACACAAATAGCCCTACTGAGTTAGACACTCATCCACCAATGATGGGGGCTGGTAGTGGTGTGTGGCTTGGTGATCCGGGGTCACCTCGCAGGACCGAGCGTTAGGGCCAGACGAGCCAGCTATGGGGGCTATAGGTAGTCTGAAGTGTCTGACGGCCGGGTCTCACGAAGGTAACTGATCCTACTGGACCTCGGACATCTCCCCAGACATAGTGGATACAACATCCACGCTACAGACACGGCCTAGGCTGCGTTAGGGACCTGTATGGATGAAGGGACGGGCACTCACTAACGGTGACAACAACATCACGTTTCAGGGGACGTTAAAGACGTAAATATGACTTCACTCAGAGCATATCAACTACGTTACTGTAACACTTGCACAATCAACTATTAATTGGGTCAAATCACTTAAAGAAGGGCGAATTACAACACAGCGTGGAATGGCATACCTGTATGGATGAAGGGACGGGCACTCACTAACGGTAGAAATGCCCGCGGGCCCTCACTCAAAACAGACCAGGGAGTCCACCTACTTCTATTCCGATGAATTAATTTACTGTACACTCTGACGTTGAAACTGAGACTATGAACTCATTTTCATTCTCTACTATTATCTTCACTAACAATGCTCTGACTCAGCTATCAAAAGCAAAATTAAATTGATTACAAAGGGTTGGATGGCAACAGGTCCCAGCATACAGCGTCGGCTACGAAATCCGTGGATTATATTCAAGGTTCCCATAAGACAAAGACGGGGGAAACAGAGAAAACGGGGGATGTTTCCACTGGGGGACTCAAGAGGGTTTTGTGGACGTTTGAGCGTAATATGAATCCTTAAGGTTTTCAGGTTAGCTATTATCATGATCATTACAGCAGTACTTTACATTACTGTACCAGGACACAATTAGCCAAGAATACAGTGTTTAGTGTCAAGATGTAAAAAGTGATAACAGTAATGTACAGTATAATGTATTGTACATTCAGTAAGTGGGAAATACTGAAGTATCTTAGCTTCTGTTTTTATTCAAGATCCTGCTTAACATAATACTCAAGGTACTAGATGTTTGGACTCAAATTCTAGAACAAGGCGTAAATATCGATAATATATACAGTATTGTCACCCCGTTTGGTCCCCGAGGTGTGCTAGATTTTCTTAATTGATTGAAAATGTTCAAAGGAGGGCCACCAGACTGGTGTCTGCTCTACGTAACCTCAGTTACCCAGAGAGATTGGAGCACCTGCAACTAAAGAGCTTATACTACAGACAGGCGAGGGACGACCTAATCGAAGTACATACAAGTATATAAACATCTCATTAATATAATAAAAATAATATTAATAACAATAATAACCATAAATAAATACAAAACTGAAAAAATAAATCAAGAGTGAGAAACGATATACTGTACAGTATGTAGGTTTTATTATATTATTATTATTATTACTACTACAGGATTAGCCCACCGGCACAGGTCACTGACCCACATCGGGGCCTGGGGGGTGAAAATGTAGTAATAATAATAATAATAATGATGATGCTCCATAAAGAAATGCAAAAATGAAAAAAAAATCAAAAGTGAGAAACAATATATGTACAGTACTGTATGTTGTGTTGTCAAAAGTAAGAGAAACAATTGAGACCCTGCAATTGTGTGTAAATGAGACAGAAAGTCAGATCAGCAACCTGAGACTTGGTCCAAATTTTTGTGATGCCATATGGTAGCAGGGTCTACCATTATACAATACATTATGCTTCTAATATCTTCCCAGGCGGTAGTTAAATGAACTACTCTATTTGATTGATAAATATATACCCAAGACCAAACCCACTGGCTCCAGGACTACAAGGAGGCGGTTACACATGAACCACATGACACTCGAAAAAAGTTAGGAAGAAATCACAGAAATTCAAGAGATGCGTTCTGACAAATGATGAGCAGGACAGAAGGATATATGCCAGGTCCAGGAACCAAGCAAAGTCAGAGTGTAGAAGGGGTGAAAAAGAGCTCCTAAGGCAGATTACAGGCGAGGTCAAGTCAAACCCAAAGGCTTTCTGTCGTTACACAAAGTTCAAATTAAAGTTGTGTGGGCTTATGAGATCTGAAACTTGAAGAGGGGTAGTTACGCAGACTTAGATTAGGACAAAGTGGAGGCATTAAACAAATTCTTTTCTTCAGTGTTCACGAGAGGATATGATCGATCTCCCTGCATTAGAGGAATGGTGGTTTGACACAGCTTTGGTGCACTATTTTCGCAGAAGAGAGTTATGCATAGAGCTTGCTGAACCCTATAAAATCCTGTTCTGCAGATACATGGACGAGCAAATGATACCCACTGACTGGAAAGTGGCATATGTGAGGCCTATATTTAAACGGAGATTGCCACTCCACAAACAATTTTAGACCTAGGCTGGTGAACTTGATTAGCATAGTGTGTAAAGTACTAGAGAGCATTATAAGAGATGCCATTACTTTGCTTTTTTTACTTTTGTCCTCTTCACCACTGATCGGCTCGTTAGCCGCTTGAGCGATTGGAAACGTCTCTGTTACGCACTGTTGGCAAGCACTGGGCATGCATCGGCTCCTGAATGTACCTGAACCTGCTCCAGTGTTGGTCTAGTCTGGTCTTGAAAGAGCTCACACTCGGCGCCGTCACAACACTCTGGTAGATTGTTTCAAGAGTTCACAACTCTCACTCCAAAAAAGTTTGCCCTCAGTTTTTTTGGACCTGCGGCTTCTTCAATCTTGAGCTGTGACCCCTTGTGGGAAGAGCGTCCGCCAGCTCCAAGTAAGGACACTCAACTGAGTAGTGCCCCTTCAGATGCTTATACACCTCAATTAGGTCACCCCTTGCCCATCTGTAGTATAAGCTAGGCAAGTTTAGGCGCTCCATTCTCTCAGGGTAGCTGAGGTGCCGAAGTGCAGGCACCAGTCTGGTGGCCCTCCTTTGAACATTTTCAACCAACTTACAGTCCCTAGCATATCTCGGGATCCAGACGGGTTGATAGTACTCCAGATGGGGAAACACTTCACTCTTGAAGATCGTTACGAGGGACAGACCGTCTAGATATCTGAACGACCTTCTTATAAGACCCAATAATTTATGCCTTGTTCACCTTCTCGCAATGGCACAAGAACTTCAGCTCATTGTCAACATACACACCTAGGTCCTTTTCACATTGTCTCAAATAGTGCGGTTTCTTCATCCCGTTGGGATTTATGATATGCCTGCTTACCGTTGGTACGCCCCAGGTGCATCCTCTTTACACTTTGTGACATTGAATCTCAGCAGCCATTTCTTCTTCTTGCCGTCATCGGCAAACATTTGTATGGAGGAGTGTACAACGTCAGGCTTGTCATCTATGAAACAAACAAACAACAGCTGGCCCAATACACTGCCCTGTGGTACCTCGCTTGTGACAGGTACAGATGATTTCGTGCCATTAATCACCACAC